GTTCTCAGTCAGCAACCTCTGACTGGGCTGCAAGCTTTAGGTTTGGTTTTCACCAACCTAGAAGCCGGTAGAGGCAGCCGAAAGAGCCAGGTGGAGGACCCAGCTGTAGCAGTTTGAAGTTTTGTGTTTTTTTAATCTGGTCAAAACTGTCTAAGAGCTGCAGTAAAGACAGAGCCAGATAGAAAAAAACCTCTAAACAGGGTTCAGTGTGTTTACCAATGTGCATAAGCTTAAGAAAACGATATAGTCATAGAAAAAAATAGTTTAAAAGTAATAAAGTATTTAAAGAGAGAAGTAAAATAATATATAAAAAAATAAGAAGCCACACAGAGATGGGAAATACACAGGGAATTTGGATCCTGTATTGAATTTTTTGATTGTTGATAGCAAGTGACAGCTGCTAAGAGACGTGGGATTGAAAGGGCCACTGAAATAAACTAGTGTAGATATTTTAAGAATGCCTTAACTTTAAAATGGAAGTCAAGAAATGTACTTGTCAATTGGAAGTCAAACATGCCTTGGGGAAGAGGTTTTGCTTTTGCTTCCTCCACAGGATTCACTCCAAGTTAATATGGATCTGGTTTGATCAAGGGAGGCCTCCCTGACAGGTGATACCTATCAATCAAGGTTATAGCTGGTCTTCCCAGGACTTGCTCATTATCTAAAATTATTCTCAGGGACCCCTAAAAAGATGTCTTTGCCCACAGACAATAGGAAGCAGTCTGAGAACATGACTCTCACAATCCCAAGAGATGGGGTTGGTGGTCTTTGGTTCTTTGGTGGGTTATGGATGTTTGTTATCATTTAGGGGAATATGGTCTATTGATACAAATTTAAAGTTACTTTTGTTATACTGTACGTATGTTTCTACTCTTGTTTACAGTTTTGTACTTATACACTTCATTTAAAAATGTAGGGTAAATTATAAACTATTTAGGATAATCAAGAAATACAGGTTAGTAGTTAGTCATTTATACAATCAAATATATGGATATGTTAGGTATGTTTTCAAGATCACATAGATATATATTTAGATAGATAGATGATTTTCAAAGACCCATGGAATATGACATTTAAAATGCTTTGTTAACATAGGGCTTTTCATGACAATGAGACACATCTGCTCCTGGTAGCACTAATTTACTTCAGAGATGATGGACATCAAAGAAACTCCTTATGGGGTTTGTGTTCAATGTGGCAAGGCAACCATTTGAGCAAGAAACTGCTCCGCCTTGACTTCTGACAGAATACTATATAATACTATATAAATTGGACATGTAGGACCCACAGAAAGAGACTGCCAAAACAAGGTGGGATAATCCTTTAGGGTTCCTGCTTCACAGAAGAGTCTGTTGGATATTCTGCAGGAAAGATACTGTTGAATTTTGCCAATACAAGGTGGGCAGTATGCTAGATATTTTAGGCCTGTGGGCTGAAGATGGATGCTACAATGTTGCAGAGGAACTTTGGATGACTGTCCAGGAAGCAAGATATCTTTGTTGTTAGGTAATATTATATCCTTCTGGGTCTTTGATGGAGTTGAAAACTAGATAGTTATAGTTACAGTTTTCCTTAATTATGATAGAAAGTAAATTAGGCATAAAACTTTGGAGTCACTAAAATGGGATGGATGGTGGAGTCTTTTCTCTGAATTCATTAAATACAAATGGACTGATTATTGTAAATGTAATTCTTACTTGATAACTGTTTTTGTTTTATATAGTTTTACTATATTAAAGTTAAAACTTTACATTTTTATTTAGACAAAAGGGAAAAATGTTGTAGAATATTAGTTAAAGATGTGTTACATTTGTTTATGCTGTGGAACATTTGTTTAATTATGCAAAGATGTGTTGTATTCTTTTATGTTGCATTTGATTTAACTCTGTGAAACTGTGTTACTTTTCCTGTCTAAAACACCAGATGGTCTAATAAAGAACTGAATGACCAATAGCAAAGCAGGAGAAAGAATAGGCAGGTCTGGAAGGCAAGAGAATAAATCTGGGAGGAGAAGATCAAGGAACTAGAAAATAAGGGGCCAGACACCCAGCTACACAGTATGACAAGGAATAAGAAAGAAAGAAAAGATATACAGAAATAGAGAAAGGTAAAAGTTCAGAGGCAAAAGGTAGATGGGATAGTTTAAATTAAGAAAAGCTGGCAAGAAACAATTCAAGCTAAGGCTGGGCATTTATAAGTAATAATAAGTCTCCATGTGTATTTATTTGGAAGCTGGGTGATGGGCCCCCAAAAGAGTAAAGAGTAAAAACAACCACCAATAATTTATATATTTTATCATGGAAAGTAAATTATTTGTAGTTAGGGATGGCGATACTTAGTTTTAACTGTCAACTTGATGCAGTATAGAGTTACCCAGGAAGAGAATCTCAATGAGGGACTTTCTAGATCAGATTAACCTGTGGGCAAGTCTGTGGAGGATTGTCTAGCTCAGGTTAGTTTATGCACATGTCTGTGGAGGACTGTTTAGATCAGGTTAGCCCATGGGCATGTCTGTGGAGGATTGTCTAGATCAGGTTAGCTCATGGGCAAGTCAGTGGAGGACTGTCTAGATCAGGTTAGCTCATGGGCAAGTCAGTGGAGGACTGTCTTAACTATTAACTACTGGAAAGACGTAGCCTGAAAGTGGGGAACACCACTTTTTGGGCTTAGATCGTGAACTGTATGAGAGGAGAGAATGTGAGCAGGGGGCACACTCAGGCATGTATTCATTACTCTCCGCTCTTGGCTGCGGAAGTGACCAGCTACTTCTAGTTGCTCCTCTGTGGCTCCCTGCAGTGATGGACTGTGGCCTGGAATTGTGATCTAAGGAAACTACCTTCTCCCTTAAAGTTGCCTCTGTTGGGATATATATCCTAATCAAAGCAACAGAATAAAAACTGGAACAAGAACCCAGTCATAATTATCTCTTTATTTCTACTAGTCAAGATAATTTTACCAGTAAGTAATAGCCGAGACAGGAAAGTCCCCATTACCCATTTATATGACCTTATTAAACTGGGAGAATTTAGTCATTCATCCAGTGTTAGCCACCCAAACTACAAAATGATGGAAGGTGTTAGATGAAAGGGTTTGAAGTTTCTTTGTGACATTTGATAAATATGAAAGATAATATGAAACCTAAGTTTTAAAACCCAGGCATTGGCTGTTCTTATTCCTGATTTCATATGACTTTCCCAAATGACCCCATAAACCACAACATATAAAAAAGGATGCATAAAAATAATATGTTGGAAGAGATACAATCACATACGAATGCATTTGGAAAAACATTTCAACCGTGACAAATGTGACAATGTTGACTAAAAACTCTACCAGCAGAATCAAACCAAAGAGGAAAGGAAAAAGTGAAGACACTTTGAAGACGTTAAGCTCAAGAGAAACAGGATCAGGGGCCGGGAGAGAAATGCTAAACATACCAACACTGGTGTCAAATTCAGAGCTCACATTAAAAAGACAAAACAAAGCTCCCTGGAAGAGGGTGGGCATTGTTTTGGTTGAAGTGCCTAAAGCATCTGTATTCATTACCATATGTCAGCAGAAATAAAACAGGCTTTTGTCAAGGAAGAAGACGCAAACATCCATAATTCTCATGAATGATCTTATGAGAGAGCCTTGCTATGTAATAGAAATCTCCATTATAGCCAGGAAAGTCACTGCTAATTTCCATTAGGAACCATATTCTCCCCAAAGAGACTTACTCTGTCTTTACTTTTAAAATGTTTGTTTATACGTGGTGTATGCTTGTGGTGCTCATGGTAGGGGACCAAAGGTCAACTCTTGTTGTCTTCCTCTAGGGCCTCTTTCTCTATTTTTTATTTTTGAGATTATAATATAATCAAAATATTCCTCCCTCCAAACCCTTCCGCATACTGCTCCCTTGCTCCCTTTCAAATGTATGGCCTCTTTTTTCATTCCTTGTTATTGCATGCATGTATGTGTAAATACACACATATGTATTCCTAACTATAACCTGCTCAATCTGTATAATGTCATGCATATGTATGCTTTCAGGACCGATTATGGAGAATGGGATAAGCAGGTGGTATGCTCTTCCCCGGGGTACTGCTCTCAGCACTCCTTCTTTGCCTTCCTGGAGGGTTGAGGCCTTGCGGGCGGGCTTTCCCCGACTACTCTGACATGTCTGTTGATGTTGTCCTTGTTCAGCTCGTGTTAGGGCAGTCATGTTGGTGAGACTTTATGTGTGTAGCTTCTCACATTACTAGGAGACACAACCTCACAGCAAACTCTCGTCTGGCTCTTACAATCTTTCTGCTTCTTCCTCTGATGTTCCCTGAGCCTCAGGTATGAAGTCCTTTACTTTTCAAGGTAAGTTCTTGCTGAACTTGGGGGTATCCTTCCAGCTAGACTGGCTGGCTGGGAAGCTCCCAAGAGCCTCTCCGCTTCCCCAGCCTCCTTGACACTTAGATTCCAGACACATGCCACCGAGCCAGGCTTTTCTGAGAGCTGGGATCCAACTCAGGTTCTAGTACTTGCAAAGAAAATGTTTCACCCACTAAACCATCTTCCCAGCCCCTCTAAACAAAAGAGAGAATTTCTCTGTTACTTCTGGAGGGTGCTAAATAAAACAGGTACTCATTTGGGGGAACTAATACTTCGTGATTTTTATTTCTAGGCAGTATAAATATAATACTATGGCAAATACGAGCTTTCAATTATAATAGTCTAATAGGCAACACGGATGTTTTCCCTGAATTTTATTATGTTCATAAAAGTATCACAACATAAGCAACAGCAATATTGTAAAATAATAGTTTGCTGTGGCCAATAGCTAGTGGTAGCCTAATGAAAATGAAAGCTTCACGTGAGAAGAGGCAGTGTCCCCCATACAGAGCGCCAATCCCAAAGGAGATGTGAAACCATTTCATTAAATTTTCTGTTTTTAAGTACGTGATTTTATAGCTAGTATTTATTTATTGATCAAGCGGGGCTATAATTAGATGAATTAAATGGTTACTCACCTAGTAAATCCGAGGCTCTCAAATTTTCTTTTAGAAATACAACGGAAATTATGGCACTACCTGCAAAGAAAATGGCCATTAGTAGTAGTTCCAGTATATATAAAAAAGTATTATCCAGTGCAATATGAAAGAAACTGAGCATTTAATGTTTTTGTTTCACTGTTGGCAGTTGTGGCTGTAAATTCCATGATGGAAGAAGACACACAGGGCTGAGCAAGAGCAACGAGAGCGCCTGCTTCCAGACTGGCTTCCTTCGTAAGTTTACTGAGTGAATGTGTGGGTAGGAAAGCAGAGCTGGAAGAAAGAGGGAGGACGGAGGAGAGAAGCAAAGGGAAAAGGATGAAATAGAAGACAGGAAGAGCTAGAAAGGCAGGAGAAGCCAGGAGGAAACTAAAGGAAGCAGCGAATGACTAAAATTTACATATTTATAGCATATCCCACACTGAAGCCATCAGCTCCCGCATCCCTCCAAAGCTCCCTGTCCAGGGCTCCTCTCTCCTTCAGACAGCACAGCCCGCAGGCTGCTGGACCCAAGTTTGCAGCGCATCTGTCATCAACACCCTGGTCACTGCTTGTGCTTGTGCCTCTGTTTAATAGCACAGTAGAAATCTGTCTTGACATCCCACTCTTCCCTCTCTCCACACTGCTAGGGGACCTTTCGAAAACGCCACGCTCACGGAAATCTGCAGCTTTAGCTCTCTTATGGCTTCACAGGGCAAAGACCCGAGCTGCTGGCTGTGGCCTTCAAGGACACACATTTGCCCTCCATTCCCCTTCTGTTTTGTGTCCGTCCTTTCTAAAACACACGATTATAATTCCCAGGCCCACCGTGCGCTTTTGTGCTATGGCTTCTATGGATACAACTGCCCAATCTGTGGTCAAATCTAGATTCAGGATGCCGGCCAGATCCGGACTGAGCTGGACATCTACCCTGGGATAGTTTGCGTGTAGATTTCCATTGGTCTATCCTGGGATAGCTGGACATCTACCCCGGGATAGTTTGCATGTGGTTTTTCATTGGTCTATCCTGGGATAGCTGGACATCTACCCCAGGATAGTTTGTGTGTGGTTTTTCATTGGTCTATCCTGGGATAGTTTGTGTGTGGTTTTTCATTGGTCTATCCTGGGATAGTTTGTGCGTGGTTTTTCATTGATCTATCTTGGGATAGCTGGACATCTACCCCGGGATAGTTTGTGTGTGGTTTTTCATTGGTCTATCCTGGGATAGTTTGTGTGTGGTTTTTCATTGATCTATCCTGGGATAGCTGGACATCTACCCCGGGATAGTTTGCGTGTGGTTTTTCATTGACCTGAGACTTATTGCCATCACCCTTTTATTCTGCCTGTGTCTTTACTCTTCCAAGAAAGGCTCATACTGCTGGACTCTCAAAGCTGAGCCAGGGCCTGCTGCTATGGCCTCTGGTCAAGAAGGCAGTTAGACTTCTGAGCTGTTCCTTTTGTAGATTTGTTCCTTGATAAACTGGAAAACTCCAAATTGCAATCACAAAAACGATATACAGTGTAATCTGGATTTTAAAGTTTTATTTGAAAATTTAGCCGAGTTTTTAAAATTAAAAACAGAGGAAAGAATGCTTTTATAAAAACAAAACACTGTAATGCCCATGGCCCTACCACTGTTGGGTTTATGGTAATACCCATGGTGCCTGTTGCCATGGAAGGCCGTACGGATGCCTGGGGTCTGGGCCACCACCTCGGCCCATATCCTAGGGCCACCCTGCAGTTGTGATAATGCTGACCTCAGTGGCCTGTGCCGCCACCAGGGGCCATGGTGACATTCAGGCCTGGACTGCTTCTGAGGACTGTGTCTTGGTGAATGGTCCTACTGAAGCTGGTGTCTGTGTTAATGCCCATGTCCCGTGTTGCCACCAAAGGTTTCAAGGATGCCTAAGTTCTCTAGCCATGTTGGGATCCAAGGGACATGCCACCGCTGGGGTCATGATGTCATCAGTGCCAGAGCTGCTGCTGAGTGCCATAGCTGGGTCCGTGGCCTACTGTAGCCAGGGTCTGTGCTGATATTCATAGAAGGGTCTGTTGCCATAGAAGGCCGAATGGCCACCTGGGGCCATGTTGGTGTTCTAGGACCACCCTGTAAGCAAGGCAATGCTGATCTGAGTAGCCTGCCACCTGGGACCATGGTGACATCCGCAAAGGGAAACCCGAAAAGAAATAATAAAAGTAAAACAAAACAACCCCCCCCCCCAAAAAAAATTGCAGGCCTACATCCAGGGCTTTGAGTTCGCTCACCCAACATCTACCCCCTCTATGACCTGCTGGAGCACGTGACGCGACTGATCCTGTGGAACCATATCTGCAGGATCTCCAGAAGTTTTGGTGAGGGTCAGAATTGATGGCGATTGTTCAGAGGCCGCAAACCTGACCAACATGTTACACAAAGGGCGTTTGCAAGCGAAGCAGTTTGAACAGAACACTCCACTGCAGGGCACACTGCAGTTCCCAGAGCCACTAAGATGAACGAGGAGGTGATAGACAGGCAGGAAAGACGGAAGAGGGAAGAGGATTTTTAATTGTTATTGTTTGCTTGTTTTTTTAGTTTATATTCTTGTTTGTCTTTTTTATTTTACTTTTATTATTTCTTTGTGGGTTTCCCTTTGTGGGAAACACTGTAGGGGTGAGGGGCAGATATGGAAGTACTGAGGGATGGGTGGGATTGGGGTGCACGATGTGAAATTCCCTAAGAATCAATAAAAATTGTTTCAAAAAAAGTACTATTATTTAGAGAAAAGTGAAGTTGATGTGTCAATGTTTTTGACCCTCTCACTTGAGAACAAACTATAGAACACTGTTTTCTCAGCTACTATGGAAGCAGCAGTTTGCTATGTCACTAAAAATTCTTCATAGAGATAATTTTAATGTCTGTATAATGACCCATTGTGTGGATGTCACAGTCACATTTTGAATATGATTATGCCTGGTGTTCTGGTGACTTGTTTAAAGCAAAACCACCATGTTTTCTCTTTAAATAAGCTGAGACGCTTATAAGCTGCCCATCCTGATGCTCACTTGAGTTGATCTTCGCTCTTGCATGTATATGAATTTCTATCCTAAGATAGAAATAATTCTAGGAAACCACCAGCATCCTGTGTTCGGAGCCTTAGAAAGGCGTGAGGACCAACGCCTTTACAAGCTGCATCCGTTCACTGGCTTCTTACAAACCTGGGCAAAGAATGTCTCTATCTGGAAAGAGATAGATTAACAATGAAAAACAAGCACCATGTGACCGCACTAAAATATAGTGGTGCGTCCCATGCGACAATCCTGGAGATGGCTATTTCACAGCCAGGAGTTGCATTTAGGTGGGAAACTGCTTCCACAGAACAATAGGGATAGCTACTTAGTCTAAACTCTGTGAATATGAAACTAAGTTACAAAGAGGCTGGGCCTTTCCTTTCTGATTTAGTCAGCAGAGAAACACCGGTGTTGCAGCTGAGCAATTGTAGACACCGGCACTTCCTCCCCTGACCAAGGCTGTTTCTTGAACGCTGCTTCCCTGGAGGTCAGAAAGGACAGATTCCCTTTTCCTTTGTTGCTAAACCACAGCTTCATAAATAATCTAACTTTCAGAGGGAAGTGGCATGTGGGAGATAATTTTATTGCTTCTAGCCAAAAGGATATGACTGTAATAAAAACTTAGAATATGTGGCATGCATTGAGCTGTATCAACTGCCACAGAACGGTTATGCTTTATGAAACCAATGTGCTCTTTTTCCTCACTAAAGGAATTTAGATTTGAATGCACTTCTATCCACTTACCTGTTTTAAGGAAACATGAAATTTTTCTAGAAAGGGTGTGTGTGTGTGTGTGTGTATGTGTGTGTGTGTGTGTGTGTGTGTGTGTGTGTGTGGTGTTACTCTTGTCTGTGCACAAAGAGACCACAGAGGCTGATGTTGGGTTCTTTCTGCTATCATTTTCCACCATGTTTAAAAAAAAATATTCATTTTATTTTAAATTACGTGTGTGTGTGTGTGTGTGTGTGTGTGTGTGCACATGAGGGCAGATTCCAGCAGAGAGCAGTGGTGTCAGCTCACTTGAAGCCGTCCAGAGTCACAGGCAGCTGCCTGATGTAGGTGGTGGAAAACCAGCTCAGCGCTGTGCAAAAGCAGTGTATGCTCTGAACTGCTGAGCCATTTCTCAAGCCCTCTGCCATAGTTGCTGAGACAGACTCTCAACTCTTTCAGCTAGACTAGCTGTCGGGGAGCCCCTGGGATCTGTCCCCTCGCCTCACCCCTCATGCAGGGGTTCTGGATGTGCAGCCTATACCCGCACGTTGTTTTAGTGGGTGCTCGTGATCGGAACCATCTCCCCAGCCCCTCTGCTAGGTTTTTACATAGGATAAGACATCTATTTAGAAAAGTAATAAAAATAACGTGCTACCATGATAAATTTATTTTTAACTCATGTGTATGCAGCTATGGGTGAAATATGAGCTGTACCGAGCAAACCAACAGTATCTGAACAACAGCTAATGGCATGCCTTCCTAGTAGAGTAGTGAATTTTTAAAATGAGCAAAAATAGATCAAAGTACTCCCATACATCCTTGCAACCAGAGACCTGCCCAGCTCAACCTATAACCATTGCCTAATAAACCAGAGCAGGGCTGATCACGATATATTTATTCCCACTGTATAATTTAACATTCAAAATTTGGAAGGGTATTTAAACATCAATAATCTTAAAAAGCATCTAAACAGCACAGCTGCAAGTCTGCACCAGGGGTAATTAAAACCACAGCCTGGGGCTTTCCTTCAGCAAGTTTATTCTGGGGTGGAGGCACACTAGGCCAGAAGCTCTGGGCTGTCCAAGACACAGAGAATACTCATTGAGGTTGCTGTTTAATTGCTAGGTACCTTTACGGTGTGTGTGTGTGTAAGGAAAGCCAGGAGGAGACTATATGCTTTCTAGGAACTCAGTAGTGTCAGAGAGTTAACAACGCCCCACCATTCAGACAGGTGTTTTTCCCAGGCAGAGTTCACAGTTTAAATAAAGTCAATGAACTGCTGTTCTTGGCCAGTAGGAAAT